CAGACAACAGGCCCTGGTGAACGTCCCAAAAAGCCACTGGACTTTCTGTAAGGAGTGTGGCAAGCACCAACCTCACAGAGTGACACAGTGTACAAAGGGCAAGGAGTCTCTGTGCTCAGGGGAAGGGCGTTACGACAGGAAGCAGAGTGGCTACGGTGGACAGACTAAGCCTGTTTCCTGGAAAAAGGCAGAAACTACAAAGAAGGTTGTGCTGAGGCTTGAATGTGGTGAGCCCAACTGCACATCTAAGAGGACACTGGCTACTAAGAGAAGCAAGCATTCTGAACTGGGGGGAGATGAGACGAGACAGGGTCACGTGATCCAGTTCTAAGCTTCATCTCTTGCTTTACTATGAAGACCACAAAATCTTTTTTTTTCTTTTTCTTTTAAGAAGTATTTTATTTAACTTTTATTTATTATTATCATTATTATTTTCCAGTTTGATCAGAGAGAAACAGAGAGACAGAGAGGAAGTGAGAAAGCAAGCCACCAGGTCCAAGACTTGAACCGTGGTCGGCCATGTGGGAGTCCAGTGCCTTTAACAACCAGGCCACTTACTGGCCCCAGACCACAAAATCTTGAGGTGAGAGTTCGCCTCATTTGATTATAGTTGGTCCTTTTGTGAAGGAATAAAGTAATCAATAAAATTCCTTTGTGGGGAAATCTGATTCACAGTTAAAAAAAGAAAAAAAAAAGAATAAAAGAATCTCCTTTGCTCTCTGGCCACAGATCTCTACAATGCCTCCCAAGTTAAGCTACATACTACATACTTCAGTAAAAGTCTTACTATTCCAGGTTTTCAGAACTAATAACAGGTGGGGTTAATTAGGGATAAAGCAGAGAGCCATTTAAAATAGTGTGATAGTGTGCGTATACATACTTTAGACGTTTTATTTTGGCTTAATACACACAAATATTTTTGTTTGCCAATCTAGCAAAATAGAGCCAAGCAGGTCTTAAGGGTTCACTGAATAGAGTTGTTTTTTTTTTCAATAATGTATTTTCTACAATTTGCACCATGTCCGGTTTTGAGTTTTGTTTTGTTTTGTTTGTTTTTTTAGAGAGATTTTTTTTGCTATAGGGTGCGTGCGCTCACCAGAAAGAGAGAGAGACAGAAAGCAAGAAATCATCCCCCAGGGGGGATGGCCACACCGCAGCCCCTTCTCCCCCATTCTCCTCTCGGGATCTTGGCACACACGCATGTGCCTGGCATGAGTTTAAGCCACCAGGTCTGGGACTTGAACTGCGGTTGACTACGTAGGAGTCCAGTGACATAGCCACTGCACCAACTGCTGGTCCCGGTTTTGAGTTTTTAAAAGTGGTATAAGAATGCAAAAATTTGGGGCCAGCAGGTAGCATGTTGGTTAAAGGTGCTGGTCTCCAACATAGCTGACCACGGTTCAAGTCCTGGACCTGGCGGCTTGCTTTCTCATTTTCCCTCTCTCTCTCTGTCTGATCAAATGAAAATGATAATAATAATAATAAATAAAATAATTATTTTTAAAAAGAATGCAAAAATTTGCAGGGTAATTTAAGTGCAGAGTCTTCAGATTTTTATAAACACCGTTTGAAAAGCACTTTTTTTTTTTTTTAAGAATTATTTTATTTAGCCCTGGAGTGATTCCGTCCTGAGCGACTGTTTTCGGGAGCCATAGTAGTTTACCTCCGTCCACCTTCTCGCCCACCCAAGTGCGTGCTGCCACCCCATGGAAGATTTGATGGACGTGGACATGAGCCCCCTGAGGCCCCAGAACTATTGGCTGTGAACTAAAGGCTGACAAAGATTACCACTCTAAAGTGGATAATGACGAAAATGAACACCAGTTATCTTTAAGAACGGTCAGTTTAGGGGCTGGTGCAAAGGATGAATTGCACATTGTTGAAGCACAGGCAATGAATTATGAAGGCGGTCCAATTAAAGTAACACTGGCAACACTGACAATGTCTGTACAGCCATTGGTTTCCCTTGGGGGCTTTGAAATAACACCGTGACCTATGGTCTTAAAGTTGAAGTGTGGTTCAAGACCTGTGCATATTAGTGGACAGCACTTAGTAGCTGTGGAGGAAGATGTAGAGTTGGAAGAAAAAGAGGAAGAGGACTCTCAAGTATATCGGGAAAGCGATCTGCCTCTGGAGGTGGTAACAAGGTTCCACAGAAAAAAGTAAAACTTGCTGCTGACGAAGATGATGATGACGATGATGATGAATATGATGATGATGATGACGATGATTTTGAAGATGAAGAAACAGAAGAAAAAGTTCCAGTGAAGAAATCTATATGAGATACTCCTGGCAAAAATGCTCAAAAATCAAACCAGAATGCAAAGAGACTCAAAACCATTAACACCAAGATCAAAAGGTCAAAAATCATTTAAAAACAGGAAAAAAAAAACTCTTAAAACACCAAAAGGATCTAGTTCGGTAGAAGACATTAAAGCAAAAATGCAAGCAAGTATAGAAAAAGGTGATTCTCTCCCTAAAGTAGAAGCCAAGTTCAACAATTAAATGAAGAATTGTGTCTGATGACTGACCAGGAGGCTATTCAAGATCTCTGGCAGTGGTGGAAATCCCTTTAAGAAAATAGTTTAAATAGGTTGTTAAATTTTTCTGTCTTATTTCATTTCTTTAACAGTTGATGTCCGGCCGTCCTTTTTTATAATGCAGTGAGAACTTTCCCTACCCTATAGCAAAAATCTCTCCCCCCAAAAAAAAAAATTTTTTTTAAGAAAAAGAACTATTTTATTTAACTTTATTTATTTTAATTTGACCAGAGAGAGACACAGTGTGAGAGGGAGAGAGAGGTAAAGTGAGAAAGCAAGCCACCAGGTCTGGTACTAGAACCATGGTCAGCCATGAGGGAGTTCAGTTCCCTTAACCAAAACACCGCCTACTGGCCCCCTGAATAGCACTTTTTAAAGTAATGCTCCCAAGTTAGCATTCAACTTGTTTCCTAGAAATAATTATTTCTGCAATCAAATCTCATCAGTTCACATCATCTTTTATAAGATTACATAATTACAGTAGTACGAACAACAAGGCCCTCAGCTTTGGGGACAAATCCAACATCTCCCAGCAGTGTGCAATCTGACCAGCTGGAGCTCAGGCTCTGAGGATCACAGTGCACTGTCACTGACAGAGGTCGTGGAGGCCGATGACGAGGACATCTCCCGTGTATAAAGGCTACTGAGAAACCACTATAAACACAAAGAACCTAAATTTTCAAACTCTTTTCTGAAAGACTCACCAGGTAAGGATGAAAGAATTTCTATATCTACTTGCTGGGTGTCTGGATTGTGGCTTATTATTTTTCCTTCCTTTCAAAAATAAAAGTCCAAGTCAAAAATCAACATGTAACACATTACGAATATACTAGAAACTACTAAACCGTAGACTTTAAAATGGTGAACTTTATGTTGAATTTATATGAATTCTATCTCATTAAAAATTTAAAAGTAAATCAATATACAGAGGAAATAAAACAAACATGTCAACTGATACATACCCTCTCTGAATATACAGAAATATCCTCAGAGGCAAAATAGATATATTTACATTAAAATTGTCAGACCATGACCTAAAGAACTTGAAGAAAAGTAGATTGTACTAGGTCACCGAAAGTGACTGGATAGGAGAAAACGGGGGAAACGGACCATTCAAATGACCACCACGACATTCACCGGAGAGGCTAGCCATGTCCTGTGGGCACGGTGTTGGTTCCTGTGCCCTTAGAGCCCTCTGAAAGGGTGAGCACAACCCCCGAGCAGAAGCGGGAGGGCACTTTGTCACTGGTAAGTTTCCGATCCTCTTCCTCCCAGGTCTCTGGTTTGAGAGCTGGTTTTCAACTGCATCAAGAGGAGGCACTGTCCCAGGAAATGTGAGCAATGGCAAGACAGCTGGGCAGCCCGTGGGGCGTACTGAGGCCAGCCAAACAGTTCTTCCTTCTACCCATGGTTTTTGTTCTTTAAGGTTTTTTGCCATAGGGCATGTACACACCCCAGAGAGAGACAGAGACAGTGAGGAGGAAAATGAGAAATCACTTCCCAGAGGGGATACCATGCTATAATTCCTTCTCTTCCATTTCCCTGCTGGGATTTTAGGTATGCAGACACATGCCTGGTGTGATTTTCGAGCCACCAGGTCTGAGACTCAAACTGAGGTCGGCCTTATGGGAATCCAGTGCCCTAACCACTGCACCATCTATTGTCCCCTCTATCCAGGATTTTTGATAATAGTTAACACTGTTTTTTTAAAAAAACAAACTCAATAGGGATCAGGGACCGGGCAGACCACATTCTTTGAAGACAGATTTGACTTTTAGAGACAAGCTTAATGAATAAAGCAAATGATCAAGCTGGATAAAGCATTTGAAATCAAATTAAAAAAAAAAAAAAGTGAGATCAGGACCAGCAGGTGGCACGGTGGTTAAGGGGCTGGATATGCCCACATGATTGACCACGGTTCGAGTCCTGGACCTGGTGGCTTGTTTTCTCACTCCCCGACCTCTGTCTGTTTCTCTCTGGTAAAATTAAAAAACAAGTCAATGGATAAATAAAATTAAATAAATAGTTCTAAAAAAAGATCAATTTTCATTTTCAAAATGGATTTGAAGGCAATTTTTTCAACCTTCAAAAAATACTGGGAACTAAAGAAAACAAATAGCTTTCCAAGATAGTAACTATGACAACTAACACTGATTTAATATGCAATTAAAAAAATCATTATCACTGGGACCAGCAGTTAGCATAATGGCTGTGTCACTGGACTCCCATGTAGTCAACCACAGTTCGAGTCCCGGATCCGGTGGCTTAAATTCAGTCGGGCCTGTGTGTATGCATGCCCAAGATCCCGAGAGGAGAATGGAGGAGAAGGGATTGCGGCGTGGCCATCCCCCCGGGGGTGGGGGTGATTTCTCATTCTTTCTGACAAGAACACGCACACTATAGCAAAAAAAAAAAAAAAAAAAAATCATTATCACTTAGAATTATGTTATAAAGGTTGTGGAATATATCAATTCAATACTTATTTTTTTTCAGACTGCTATAGGGCAAATAAGAGAGACAGACAGACAGAGCCACAGACCCCAATGGGGCATGGTCACACTATAATTCCTTCTCTGTTCCTCCATCCCTGTTGGGGATGGAGGTTTTTTCTGCCTGGTGGTTTTTTCAAGCCATAGGAGTCGGGATTTGAACCATGGCTGGCTATGTGAGATCCAGCTCTCTTAGCCATTAGGACACAGATCTGGCTCTACTCTGCCTTTTTCTTTTCTTTCCTTTTCTTTTCTTTCTTTTTTTTAAAGATTTTTTGTCATAGTGTGCACCAGAGAGAGACAGAGAAAAAAGTAAAGTGAGAAATCACCCCCTAGGGCAGACAGCTATGCCACCATCCCTTTTTTCTCCATTTTCCTCTTGAGATTTTGGGTCCGTACACACGTGCTTGATGGGATTCACAAGCTGCCAGATCCATGACTCAAACCATGGTTGGCCACGTTGAAGTCCTACGTCTTCACTACCACCCTACCTGCTGGCCCCCCAGCCTGTTGCTAAGGAGGGGTTTCTATTAAGATTTTTTAAATTATTTAATTTTTCATTTATTCATTCATTTATTTTAATTTGACCAGAGAGAGACGCACAGAGAGAGAGGGAAAGTGAGAAAGCAAGCCACCAGGTCCAGGACTTGAACTGTAGTTGGCCATGTCGGAGTGTCTAGACCATAACCACCATGCCACCTGCTAGTCCCCAATATTAAGATTTTTTAAAAGCCATCGATCCACACCAAATCAAATTCTTCTGCATTTTATCTACATTACTATATTAATATTTCCAATTATTACCTTAGAAAATATATATTATGTGAAATAAAAAAAGTACTTTTTTTTTTTTTAATAGATTTTTGCTATAGGGTCCATGCCCTTTCTGGAGAGACAAGAAAAAGGGGAAAGTGCGAAATCACACCTCAGAAGGAATGGCCACACTGCAACCCCTTCTCCCTTCTGCTGGGATTTTGGGCACGTGTGCACATGTACCTGGCATGAGTTTTAAGCCACAAGGTTCAAGTTCAGGACTCAGACCACAGTCAACTATGTGGGAGTCCCGCGATGTAACCATTACATCATCCGCTGTTCCTAAGAGCTATTTACTAGTATCTTTCAAAGATTAGGATCATGAAGGAGTAGATACTTAAATAAGTGTGTGTCTAAGCTATTTAGAAAAAAGTGACTAAAAACGTTAAGCCATCTATATTCTTCCATTCTGTTGGGTCATTGGGAAAGTCATGATACATTTTTGCATAGAAAAATACATCATGACTTTCCTGACAGCCTAATATATTCCATCCTATATTCTCATTTCATAGTCTTCCCATATGTAAAAAAAGAAAAATATACTAGAAGACTTTACAATTATATTAAAAAGTTTACATTTTGATATTTTCATATTTTACTTCATGATATCATTTACTTAATAAAAAATCTACATTAACCACAGAAGTAGTTATATATAACTTTAGTTTTATTAATATACTGTCTACTTAATTATATTTAAACAAACAGCCTTACCTTGTAATCAGAGACATCAGGAGAGTAGTCAGATGTTAGTTCCAAAAGCTAAAAAGGAAGGGACCAGCAGTTAGCATAATGGCTATGTCGCTGAACTCCCATGTAGCTGACCGTGGTTCGAGTCCCAGACCCGGTGGCTTAAACTCATGCTGGGCGCATGTGCATGTGTGCCCAAGATCCCGAGAGGAGAACGGAGAAGGGATTGCGGCATGGCCATCCCCCCGGGGGGTGATTTCTCGCTTTCTGTCTCTCTCCGTCTTTCTGGCAAGCGCACGTGCCCTAGAGCAAAAACCTCTCCCCCACCACCAAAAAAAAGGAGGGGGAAAAAAACACAAATACACAAGCCCCCATTCCTGTGGGTCCTCCCTCCCACACCTCCTGAAATGTGCAGTGTAGAGTGTCCACCACCACTATTCTGGAGGCCAACCATGAATCTATGACAATACTAGAGTTCCAATGGGAAGGGTTTACTTGTTTGTTTAAGATTTTTGCTGGGACCAGTGGATGGCATGGTGGTTAAGGCGCTGGAGACTCCCACATGGCCAACAACAGTTCGAGTCCTGGACCTAGTGGCTTGCTTCCTCACTTTCCCACTCTCTTTCTTTGTGTGTTTCTCTCTAGTCAAATTAAAATAAATGAATAAATAAAATTAAATAAATAACTCTTTAAGAAAAAAATAAAAGATTTTTGCCATAGGGTACATGTGCTTGCCAGGGAGACAGAGAGAAAAAGGTGAGAAATAATCTCTTGGGGGAGTGGCCATCCACAATCCCTTCTCCTCCACTCTCCTTCCAGGATTTTGGACTGGCACACACACGCGCCTGGCATGAATTTCAAGCTGTCAAGACTGGGACACAAACCATGCAGTCAACTGTGCAGGTTCCAGCCACCTCAGCCTCCACATCACATGCTGGCCCCTGAGCTTTTTAAATGTACTTATTTCATGAGACAGTGACAGAGGAAGAC